GATGCTGAGAACCAATTCCTTTTGGTAACCATGGAGCATAAAATAAAACTTGGCTTCATGTCAAGTGTGCGTAGATTAGGGCAGATTTGCATCTGATTACCTGCAGCTTCCAAATGTGGGTAGATAAATTTCAGCTTATGCCATATTTGCATCTGTTTACCTGCAGCTTTCAAAGTGAGCCTGTCGTTGCAAAACAGGCAATGCATTGTTGTCCCATCAAACTGATATGGTTGCCAAGACTGGCATCAAAGCTTGCCAGAAACGGGTGCATGCCCAGCCCAGGCCTACTTCCTGCTGGGGCTTTCTGCTACTCCCTGGAGCCTCATAGAACTTCTATTGCTCTTTTCTGCTGCTTATTTTTTATCCTTCCTGAAGAAGTAGGGAAGCAGCTCTGGAGGTGAGAAGATGGAGCAAAACCTTCAGAGAACCTGAGCCCTCAAGCTGACTTCTGCTGATTCCCTCAATTCTCTTGGCACTGTTACAAAAATAGTTAACTTTGGTATAATAATAACAACAACAACAACAACAACAACCCTGACTTAACAATTGTCGATAAGAAAGACAAAAAAGTCTGGATAGTGGACATGGCAGTGCCTGGAGACAGCAGAATAGACGAGAAAGAACTGGAGAAGATAACAAAATACAAAGACCTACAAATAGAAATAGAAAGACTGTGGCAAAAGCAAGCAAGGGTAGTACCAATAGTAATAGGCTCCTTGGGTGCAATCCCAAAACAACTGGAGCACCACTTGAACACCATTGGCATTGACAAATTCGCTATTAGTCAATTGCAAAAGGCGGCCTTACTAGGAACTGCTTCCATCCTGCGACGATATCTGTAATACCATCAAACATCCACATCTGCCTATCCCAGGTCCTGGGTAAGGACTCGATAGGTAGACAAAATGCCAAATCCAGTCTGAACATCTGGCTGACTGTGCGATGATCAATAATAATAATAATAATAATAATAATAATAATAATAATAATAATAATAATAATAAAAGATCAGCAAGTTAAGATCACATGCAAGCAAGCTAGAACAGATGAAAGAAAAGAAGCTGAAGAACAAGAAGACCAAAGAATACCTAATCAAGAAATACCACTTAGAAACAAGGAAGATCAAGGAAGCACTGGAAATAATAAAGCAACAAATAACAGCTATAGCCAGGAAAATCAGTAGATATGAAGCTCGAATTGCAAACTATAGGCAGAACCTCCAATTTCAATCCAATCAGAAACGTTTCTACCAATCCATCAATGGAGAAACTGCAAGGAATCAGTCAGTACCTGACAAGGAAGAAACAGTGCAGTTCTGGAAGCAGATATGGGATAACCCAAAGAAATACAACAAGGATGCGGCTTGGTTAAAAGAGGTGGATGCAAATAAAACAGAAGTTGAAATGAAAGAACTAGTAATAACAACAAAAATGGTAGAAAAAAGAGCAAAGAAAATCAAAAATTGGTCAGCACCAGGTGAAGATGAACTGCATGGGTTTTGGTTGAAACATCTAACTGTTATACACCCACTCATTGCCAAGCAGTTCAACAATATACTACAAGGAGGAGAAATTGAAAAGTGGCTAACAACTGGGAAAACCTACCTAATAATGAAAAATCCAGCAAAAGGGGCAACACCAGGTAACTACAGGCCAATTACCTGCTTACCAACAACTTTCAAATTACTAACTGGTGTGGTAGCTGATGCAGTACAACAGCATCTAGTTGAAAACAATCTCTTTCCACCTGAGCAGAAAGGAAACCGCCCCAATAGCAGAGGAACAAAAGATCAACTCCTAATAGACAAAATGATCTTGGAAAACTGCAAGAGAAGGAAGACCAACCTGAATGTGGCATGGATTGACTACAAAAAGGCATTTGACTCTCTGCCACATGATTGGATAATAAAGTGCCTAGAAATAACAGGAGTCAGTAGAAACATCAGAAAATTTGTGCAAAGATCGATGGCACAATGGAAGACACAGTTGCAGATCAATGGTGAGAAGCTGGGAGAGGTTAATATCAAGAGAGGAATATTTCAAGGAGATTCATTATCACCATTACTATTTGTTATTGCACTGTTTCCTCTGTCAACAATACTGAATAACTCAGGACATGGCTATCAAACATCAAAAACATCTGCTAGACTATCCCACCTCCTTACATGGATGATCTGAAGCTGTATGGAAAAACATCATCTGAAATAAAATCGCTGCTCAACACTGTCCGTATATATAGCCAAGATATTGTAATGGAGTTGGCTTGGACAAATGTGCCACACTTACTATCAAACAAGGAAAAATAGTGAAAACTGAAGGAATCAAGATGCCCCACGAAAATAACATTAAGAGTCTGGATGAGGAAGAGTACTACAAATACTTGGGTATTCTTCAAGCTGACAACATCAAGCACACTGAAGTCAAGAAAAAGATTAGAGGTGAATACATCAAGAGAGTGAAGAAGATCTTAAAGTCCAAACTCAATGGAGGAAATACCATAAAGGCAATCAACACCTGGGCAATCCCAGTCATTAGGTACACAGCTGGAATAGTGGACTGGACTCAAGCAGAACTAAAAGCAATGGATAGGCAGACCAGAAAAATAATGACAATGAATCATGCCCTTCATCCACGCAGTGACATTGATAGACTTTATCTACCAAGGCAAATAGGTGGGCGTGGAATGCTACAAGTACATCAGATGGTTGAAGAAGAAAAAATGGCTTTGGAAGAATATCTGAAGAACAATGATGAAGATGCACTGAAATTAGTATATCAGGAAGGCTTACTAACTACTGGAGAGACCAAACTGGCCTACAAGAAAGACCAAATGAAGAACAGAATAGAGGCATGGGAAGACAAAGCACTACATGGCCAATACATGAAAAAAATAGCTGGGAAAGCAGATAATAATAAAACCTGGCAATGGCTAAGAGCAGGAAAATTGAAGAAAGAGACCGAGGGACTAATTCTGGCTGCACAAGACCAAGCCTTAAGGACAAATGCATACAAAGTCAAAATTGAGAAGACAGCAACAGACAGTAAGTGCCGCCTATGCAAAGAAGCTGAAGAAACAGTGGACCACTTGGTAAGCTGTTGCAAGAAGATTGCACAGACTGATTACAAGCAGCGGCATGACAAAGTAGCAACAATGGTGCATTGGAAGATCTGCAAAAAATATCATTTGCCTGTAAGCAAAAACTGGTGGGATCATAAAATAGAGAAAGTCATAGAAAATGATAAAATTAAACTGCTCTGGGACTTCAGAATTCAAACAGACAAGCACCTGCAACATAACACCCCAGACTTAACAATTGTCGATAAGAAAGACAAAAAAGTCTGGATAGTGGACGTGGCAGTGCCTGGAGACAGCAGAATAGAGAGAAAGAACTGGAGAAGATAACAAAATACAAAGACCTACAAATAGAAATAGAAAGACTGTGGCAAAAGCAAGCAAGGTAGTACCAATAGTCATAGGCTCCTTGGGTGCAATCCCAAAACAACTGGAGCACCACTTGAACATCATTGGCATTGACAAATTCGCTATTAGTCAATTGCAAAAGGCAGCCTTACTAGGAACTGCTTCCATCCTGCGACGATATCTGTAATACCATCAAACATCCACATCTGCCTATCCCAGGTCCTGGGTAAGGACTCGATAGGTAGACAAAATGCCAAATCCAGTCTGAACATCTGGCTGACTGTGCGATGATCCATAATAATAATAATAATAATAATAATAATAATAATAATAATAATAATAATAATAATAATAATAATAATAATAATAATAAAGTTGGAAGGGATCTTGGAGGTCATCTAGTCCAACCTCCTGCTCAGGCAGGAAACCCTATAGCATTTCAGACTAATGACTGTCCAGTCTCTTCTTAAAAACTTCCACTGTTGGAGCATTCACAGCTTCTGGAGGCAGGTTGTTCCACTGATTAATTGTTCTAACTGTCAGAAAATTTCTCCTTGGTTCTAGGTTGCTTCTCTCTTTGATTAGGTTCCATCTGTTGCTTCTTGTCCTGCCTTCAGGTGCTTTGAAGAATAACTTGACGCTCTCTTCTTTGTGGCAACCCCTGAGATATTGGAACATTGCTATCAAGTCACCCCTCATCCTTCTCTTCATTAGACTAGACATTCCCAATTCCAGCAACTGTTGCTTATATGCTTTAGCCTCCAGTCCCCTGATCATCTTTGTTGCTCTTCTCTGTAATCTTTCTAGAATCTCAACATCTTTTTTACATCGTGGTGCCAAAACTGGATGCAATATTACAAGTGTGGCATTGTAAAATGGTATTAACTCTTCACGTGATCTTGATTCTATGCCTCTGTTAATGCAGCCTTGCACTGTGTTGGCTTTTTTGGCAGCTGCAGCACACTGCTGGCTCATATTTAAGTGATTGTCCACTAGGACTCCAAAATCCCTCTCACAATTGCTACTATTGAGCAAGGTACCACCTATATTATACCTGTGCATTTGGTTTTTCTTGCTTAAATGTAGAACCTTACTTTTTTCACCATTGAATTTCATTTTATTAGATAGTGCTCAATGTTCAAGTCTGTCAAGATCCTTCTGTATCTTAAACCTATCTTCTGGCTTCTTCTGGGATATTTTTTTTTCAATTATCCAGTCTAGCAATGGACCTTGGACTTCCAAGGCTGACTAGATGTTGAAATCTGCCAAAACATAGACTGCAGATTAGTTCAGCATTCATTTCAAAACAAATCATGCCATCAGATGAGTCGCTTATTTTGTGAACAGGACTGAAGTCTTACATGGCACTGATATGAATTGAAGCTCTTAAATAGTTTGACAGAAAAACAAACCAGAAACTATGTCCATCACCCTTTTCCAGCTGGGCAATATCTAGCCATGATAAACCCAGGCATGTTTTCATTAAATGCTCACCCTGTTTCCCATCTGTTCATCTAATTTTAGCTTTTTTTTGCCTCTGTAAGAACAAGAAATGTTTCTAAGTAGCTACATTTCTGGCTCTAAGCTAAAACATAATCAAATTGCCCTTTTTCTAACCCGTCAAGTCCATCTGTCCAGGTGGCAGTTGGCATAGTCCTGTAAGGGTCTAAGAGGATTCGAAAACATCGGACAATGAGAGCACCAAGGAAAATAATCAGTAAAAGCACAAAGGCAAATGTAGTTTTCTGTTCCAAGGTAATGCCAATTTCGGAAGGGAAGTTTCCAGAGGAAAAAAAATTGGAGGTAAAAGGCTCTCCATCCATTCTTCAGAAATCTTAAAACAGGAGTTCGGCAAATTTCCTTTCATTCTTGATGCACAAAGGCCAGAACTGGAGTCACCTTGAAGTCCATTGTCCTCTGCAATCAAAATGATAAGAAACGGAAGTTACAATTGGCACTGTTTCTCAATATTACAGTATGAAGCGTTTCTAGTTTGGGATTCTAAGCTCTCAGCTCCCCTCCCAAAGTAGTTATTCCATATTTCATGACCAGTAAGTGTTGTCAGCCCTTATTGTGTTCTTGTTTAGTGGGGAATTCCCCCAGTCATAAGTTCTCCTACCATTAAAATATTACTTATTTGTGAGACATTTTTGTGGGTGCCATTTTGACTTTTTGGCCTCTCTCTAAAATAACCCATCTGTGCTGAGCATAAGGGTGTAAGGAACGGTGTGTCAGCCTAAGTGGTGGGATTCAAATATGTGAACAAACGGTTCTCTGTTGGATGCTGATTCCAGAAGTCATTTCTGGGCCTGGGCAACAAAAAATTAGCTACCGGTTCTGCCAAAGTGGTGCAAACTGGCTGAAACTCACCACTGCTCAGCTTCCTTTAGTAAAAGAGAATTCCACCAATGTATTTATCTGATTATTAATATCAATATTACTGGACACATTAAAAAGAGTTCAAAGAGAATTCAGATGAACTAACAAATAATGCTTCGGAAGAAAAAATAATTAACTAAACTGAATATTATCTAAAAAATTAAATAAAGAGGGAGAAAGTGGTTACGCTGTTTCTACAAAATCTGTCATCTCCATCTATCTATCTATCTATCTATCTATCTATCTATCTATCTATCTATCTATCTATCTATCTATCATCTATCATCTATCTATATCTCTAGCTACCTATCTCTCTCTCTCTCTCTTTCTCTCTCCTCTCATCTCTTTTTTTCAGTGGAGGTAATCACATTTTCCAACTACACACTGAATTGAAACCACACATTTTTATTGTCTAAGAACATGTTTTGGTGCCCAGAGCTATTTTTGGAGATAAAGGAGATACTAGAAGTATTTGTTAATTAATTATATATATAGAGAGAAAATAAAAACGTATTTCTAGAAATATCAGAAAGCTTTTGTCCATCATATATATTCTGATAAAAAAGATATAAATAAAATGAAGGTTGTAGCAGCAGAGTTGTTGGGATAAAACACAACAAAAGATAAGGAAGTACTTAGAAGAGAACAATCAGAAAAATCCCAAATCAGAACAAGTACATTTGAGTAATATATTAACTGAGTTTTTGTATGATATTATATAACAGATTGGTATCTGTGCAAGGAGGATGGCAAAGAAAGTTCATTGCAGTCTTAGTGCTGAAAGGTTTGTAGACAAATTGTTCTTCTCAACCAATTTATGACTACCTTCTTTTGCAATGTTTGTTTATTCTGTAATGGCTGCCAACTGAGGAACTTTGTAGCATCCTCAAAAGAATTAAATTCAAGGAAGCCAAAATAAACAATGGGCACTCCTCACTATGTTCTTACATTTTACTACAGCAGAAACAACAGCAGATTATTTGACATCTCCTGGAGAGTTCAATTTATCCTCCTCCCAATTTTGGGTTATTTTTAGTAAAATTGGTGCAGGTGCCTTACTCTTGCCAGCAGCCTTTTTGTTCTTGGCTCAATCATTCAGTAGCTTTCAACTTTTTGTGGGCCAGTGGGTATCAAGATTGTCCATCAGAAACTATTTCTTTGAAATAGTGTCTTTGAAATCATACATTTTGCAAGGAGTTTATAATCTGAGCTGCAGCTAGAACCAGATTTTGTTCTCTCTTTCTTTGAGGAGCTTCTCAGTTTGTTTGCAGAGTATATGGCCAATTTGATTTTCATATTGTCCAACCAATGTTGTCCAAGTATTTGCTACAAATATTGGGTTTTCTTGGCAATGTTCCATGAGTCTCTTTCCTGCTTTATTTTGCACATGGGGCCCAAATTTTCCTATTATTCCAGATGCTATTTTGTTTCTATCTTTAGCATTCCAATCAAAAATTAGTAAGGTATCTTTGGGGTGGGATGGGGTGGGGTTGTCATCCAGTTACTGCAGATTGTCATAGAATCGTTCAACTTATACTTCCTCTGCATCTGTGCTAAAAGCATAGACTTGAATCACTATAATACAGATTGCTTTGCCTTGGATTTGAATCGAGCTCATTCTATCTTTTTGAGATTGTATCTGTGCCCTGATTGCAATGTTATTTAATAATAATGACTCCTCCATTTCTTCTCTGATTTTCCTAATAACAGTAGATCTGATGTTCCTCTGATCTGAAGTGACATGTTCCAGTACATTTCAGTTCAGTGATTCCCAGAATGTGAAAGCTCATTGATGTTTCTGCTCTGGCAACATCTAGTTTGCCCTGATTTATGATTCTGACTTTCCTCATACCAATGAAATATGTATCTTTGCAGCATCCAACTTTTCTTTTGCCTGTGGTCAATATGCAGCAGCACAACATCCTTTTTGTTTAATCTAGCCACATCAAATAGCCACATTTGTCCCCTGCTTTTCCCCATTACTTTACTGGATACCTTTCAATCTCAGAGCTCATTTGCCAATATCATGTTGACAGTTATGTTCTACTTATGAATGTACATTTGGTTTTCTTGAAAGAATGTTATAATGGGTTGCCAATTCCTCCAGTGGATTGTATTCTGGTCTCAGTTATGAGTTGTTCATCATGTACAGTCCTTCTGGGAATGTACACTGTAATAATCCATGAATGGGTACAGCCCTTTAATCTCCAAATAAGACAGTCCTTCTGCTCAAAATTAGTAGTGGGCCATATTGACCAAACTGCACTCCAAATTAGAGGAAAAAGTTATATTTCCCTCCTCCATCAACATGGTGCATAAGGAGAGAGGAATTGATAGGCGACCTACTTTAACACCAAAGCAACTCTAAGGGTTATATTAGCAACACTGACCAAATGCTAAAAGTGTTTTTTTATTATTTTATTTTGCAGAAATTGTTAAATGTAACTGGTTGGCAAATTTCTGTTGCAAATTTTTCTATTTATTGTAAATCCCCCCCCCAAAAAAAACCCCAGAGACAACCTTCCTCCATTAAATGACTTCTTAATCCATTGGACTACACTTCCCTTCATCCCCATCTTGAACAGAAGGTAGCAGTTAGAAAAAAGCTGGTCATAAGGAAAACAATTTCCCAATTGATAATTTTGGGGAAAAATTATCTGCCCCACTGTACACAATGATGTATTGTTTGTTAAACATTTCTTCAAATAAATGCACAAAGCAAAAATTTCAAGAGGGAACATGTAAGCAGTAACAGAAGATACATAATTCATTCATCAACTTTTTGCAAAGCTGGATAATATTACAAACGATAAAACTAGTTTAATTTCAACAGAATTCAAAATAAATAATAACAGTGGCATATAAATATGTTAGATAAATAAGCAATGAATGACACTTACAGTAAATTCCTCTGTGATATATTTTATTGTTACAAAATCTACAAGTCATTGAATCCCACAATAGGGAAGTTGGAATATTGAATGCCTTAACTTTGAACATTTGTCTGAAAACCTATCCCAAAGAATTCATAGGATTTACAGTTAGTAAGGGAGGGAGGCAACTGTCATGAAAGGTGATGGGTCTATTATCTGAGTAACCATGAATGGCTCTCAACTGCATGAATCCTTCACTTTGAAAGATGAATGGTTAGGATTAAGGTTAGAAAGAGGAAAAGTATAGAAACTTCTCAGCAGATATGAAATGACCATCCAAATAGGGAGGACTCAGCAGTATTTCTTCAATTCACCAATATTTCTTCTGAGCTGTATGCTTATGTGCATAGAACATGAGCCCTGTGCATGTGTAAACCATAGTAGGCCCACACAAACTAGTATTGCTAAAAAATGTTGATTATTTCATCTTTATTCAGAAATAAATTAAGAAACTGAATGAGTCATACTCCCAAGAACCTTGCTTGCACTGCGTGGGAATTTCCCTCTGGTTCCTTTGCTCCTTTATCCCAGTGTTCTGTTCCTGTCCTTGCATTCCTCCAACAGTATGTGAGACTCCTGGCACCTTCATTGGGACTGGTTGGTAGTATGGGAACATCAGCAGAAACTCAATGGCTTGCAATGTTGTTGATCAAACTGAGAGGAGACAGATCAGACTCAATCCCATGGGAGGAGGACCAAAACAGCTGTCTTTTATTATACCCATGCAGTTGTCTTAGTAAACTGAAAAAAAAATTAAAATCTGCCAAATTTCATTAGCTTGACCCTAAATGCCAAAGGTCTTGGAGAATTATGATGAAACTGTCAGAAGGTGTATGAAAATTTGAGTTCTTGAAGCATCATTTGTTGAGTAAATCTCATATAGTTAATGTATAAAGACTCAGAAATTGAAAAAAAAAACTTCACAGGAAGCTTTGCTTGGTATGCAGTTTAAAAGCTTATTGTAGTGTGTTTATTACTAAGTTGTATAATTATTTTCACCAAAATTAAGAAAAGTGTTTAAAAGTGTGTTTTAGTTATATGATAAGAATTGGAAATGAGAAGAAAAGAAAATTCTTGTTATACTATCTAACAAAAATCAGAAGGAATGTTGCTCTCCAAGTTTCCTGTGACTCATCTAATATTAGAAATAATCCATCATTAACACAAGTACAGTACATCTAAACATTTATAGTTGTCATAACACTGAACTGCCAGCATAAAACATTTTATTTCATAAACATTTCAATTTTCAGGGTTGTGATGGTTCTTCCTGGTGCAGCTCAGGCTTCTGCTTTATTAATCCTCAAGAATCCTGAAGAATACTGGATTTCAGTTTTTGTTTATGTCTATCTCTGCCAGACAAGAGTTAAGAAGTGGCACAACATGATCAAGAAACAGTAAAGAGTTGGGGAAGTCGCAACTCAGTAGTTCAATCAACACAGTAGCCTTTTGAAATGTAACCATGCACAATAAGAAGGTTAGGGGAGAGGCAGGAAGAATTCTACCCCATAGTTCTGGATATACTTCCTTTCCCCTCATTTCAGGCTGGCTGTGATTATTTTCATAAACATCTTATCTGTGGCCAAATCACAGCCTCCGCACCAT